AAAAATGAGGTCTTTTGGAAAATGTCCATGCGTTTGTAGTTGTAATATATGGAACTAAAAAGTTTTTTGATGATTACTCAAAAAATAAGTGTTCAATCTTCTTCGATCAAGGCTTTATACATTGGGCTGAGTGTTCTTTTGACCGAGTTCGAAGATAAGAACGACGTTATTCTTTTCCCTAAACAAGTGCGTAATGGATTTGTTGGCTCGTGGGAGGGTTGTAACACAAGCCGAAGGCGAGGTTTACAATCCCATGAGTCAAAAAATCCATAACGCACGTGTTTCGTATACTATTTTATGTCATTGGGCCCATAATCCGCGATTCTACCGAGCGAAGCAAGCAAATCGCACGATTACGGGCACCTATGACATAAAAAATGGCTCTTGTAATCCGAAAATTGTGGGATTGAGGCCGATGACTATTAAAACCCCCAAAGGGTTTTTCGAAATTTATTGTCATTAATAACTGGACTATACCATAAGAATGAAGGAGAAATTCTCCACTTGTTTCTCTTTGATTCAAGTCGAAAATTACGTCAATAATATTTCGTTTTGATAACAGTATGCATACACTTGAATCTAGTCTCTGTACTCTTTTGTTACCCAGAGTGATCTTAAACTTATAATTGCGTGATTCAAGTGCGTGCAGGATTAATTCAAGTGTATAATGAATTACAAGTAACATTACTGATAAATAAATGAACGTTTAGTGTCATGAATTGTTAATTCGATGACAAGATCGATCAAGAATCAGGTTAGTATTCAAATTTTAATCAATAATGTGCGTTCTTAATCGATGCTTTTCTTATTTAAGGCAATGATCCTACCCTTCCTATTATAAAAAGGACAAAGATCGAGACTATCGATATCTCGAAAGTCTGTCGCGCTTATCCCTCATTGGTTCAGTCGTCTGAGGCGGCTAAATTGAATTTGGAACTCATTTAAATTAACCATTTTTAATAACGATTTTTATCATTACAGTGCGCTGTAGAGCGCGTTCGTTCCTATCTACAAAAGGGGATACACCAAAATTAAGTTCGCCGAGAGTAAGACTGACTAACTTCATGCGTAAGACTTTTCACTCGTAACCCTATTTCTCATTGGTCAATTGGCTACGTCATCATCAACACCACGGAATCAAATGGCGCGCGGAGCACGCGTTCGGTCTCGTAAACAATAATCACGCTTTACCACTCGAAAAACTCTTCCTCTTTCGGACAAGCATGAAAGCCCCTAATCAAAGCTT